ACAACACACCAGGATTATTCACAATTTGAAAAGCTACAGTGGAATTTACATCTGTTTCTGGAAAACACTTAACAAGACTGAGCAGAGAAGGACTGCACTGTGTACTTTCTGAGGTTTTATACTACTGGTAAATTGTATTCCTTTACCTACTGATACTAAATGGCACACTTGATTTCCTCAATTCAGTTTAGCAACAGGATTATGTGCTATTAGAATTACCATCTTTCAAACAAGATACTACGTGAAGGTCCTTTCTGACCATTTGTTTTGGTGGAAGTTAAAGATCCCATAGTAACTTTCAGAATGAGGCAGGGTAAATCGCAGTGTTCCAGCCATCATTCTCTTCCCCACGCTAAACAAATTCTAATGTCCAAGGCTATAAAGGCTGCTTGGTTTGCTTGTGTTCTCACTGTACTGCCAGTTTAACTCGTTTCTTCATAATGTTCTTGTGCAGAACACATAACAGGAGCCTGCTGTTCTACTATGTTTAAATAGAAATAATTTGTTAAATACAAACTTTCCTTGCTTTGTGGAATGTGAAACCAAATTCTCCCTTTGAATCAAGTCTTCTGTGTAAGAAAACACCCATTTTGTTTCCAGTAAGCTAAAAATCTTAGCATGAGAAACTTTCCTCTACCATAAACAAACTATTGGAAAATAAAGTTTACATTAGAATTAGCATTGCTGGGCTGATTGTTGATGATAAGCACAAGTGTAATGAATCCACATTTTTTAGCAAATGGACACCAAATAATCACACTTTCAAGCAACTGAGATGTCAAATAGAGGATATGGTTCTTGGATACATGACATCATAGTTCTATATCATGTCACTCAATACAATACAGCGATCACAAGACTCGTGCCACTCCAGAAGTAAAAATGTCAAAGCATAGCCAGTTATTTCACTTACATCTTAGGTCTCTGCTTATCCGTTGAATTATTTGATGGGTAATGCCTCACTTCTTAGATAACATGGTATCGGTTTAATGGTCTCACAGTGCTTTATAAAGGTGGTCAGTATTTTAACCTCATTTTTATAGATTGGGAAACTGAGGCACACAGCTGAAATGACTGCCACTGGCTTCCCAAGTGACCTCAGGCAAGAGCTGAGAACAGAAACCAGGTTTTCACTGGCCCCAAACATTTGTACAATAGTTTTTATTCATTTTACTAAGCCATTGCAGCTGATAACATTACAGTTTCAATTTAAGATTCAGACCCAGGACTGTGTTATAGGCCCAAAGATGTTGGCTGAAAAGTTCAGTTCCATTTGATACTTGTGCGGGTAGCAGAAAGAGATACAGGATACCCCCTCCCATTTAAACAAAAGGATTATTTTAAACTATGCAGAAGGGAGGTAAAACAAGTGATTAGCTACCAGATGAACAGACCCTTATACGGAATGTTTCTTTCAGGGCAATAGGACTTTTCTTGTAACGAGTAATGCAGCAATTTTATAGCTCCAGTGGGGTTTGTGAGTGCTTGGTACACCTGAAAATCAGGCCACTTAAATTTAGGTACATAAAATTCATATTTAGAAGCGTAACTCTTAGCAATCAGGTTTGAAAGTGTTGGCCCATTTATACAGTCTTATCTCTAGTGGTGAGTGCACTGCAGAAAAGTTATATTGTTGCTCCTTCTTCCAACTCGAGTATGTCATTCTGACACTAGTGTCACCCCTTGCCAGTAGTGGATGTCCAGGGCTTTGCAGGTCAGCTTCCTAGTGGAGGATAAATCAGCAATATAGAGTCTGGATATACTCTAAATGTAACTTGTTTTATTTACACACATAGCCAAGTCCTCAAACACAGATAGTTGTCTTGTGGGAACTGGAAACACACTTTGTCTCAAGAATAGACTTTAATCAGAGACCAAGCCAGAAAGCGAAGTCTCTTACTATTCACACAGCTCCCTCTCCTTGGACTATTGCCTCTACGCAAAATCTGCCATATCAAAAATGAACTATCACAGCATGTCTTCCCAAGACTGAACATTTTCTTACATACCAAGAAAAAGAACTTGGAAGACTACATGTAAGAGCACCACCTACTGATGCCTGCTGCAACAATATAATTTATGACACAAGATGGAAGCTTAAGGGTACGTCTACACTTACCGGAGGGTCCGGCGGCAGGCAATCGATGTTGTGGGATCGATTTATCGCGTCTGGTTTAGACGCGATAAATCAATCCCGGATCGATCCCGGAAGTGCTCGCCGTCGACGCCGGTACTCCAGCTCGCCGAGAGGAGTACGCGGCATCGATGGGGGAGCCTCCCTGCCGCGTCTGGACCCGTGGTAAGTTCGGACTAAGGTACTTCGAATTCAGCTACGTTATTAACGTAGCTGAATTTGCGTACCTTAATCCGAAGTGGGGGCTTAGTGGGGACCGGGTATAAGACTGGAAGCCAGTTTTCAACCTTATTTAATAAATCCTAAAGTGTCCAATATTCAAACATTTTTTTTTAAAGATAGCTAGATTAGATAGATCCTTTTCACACCTGCACCAAGTGCCAAATCCCATCTGTCTTTACAAATCTCAAGCAAATGAGATTTTTGAAGTGGATTTACACAGCGTTTGGAATCTTCCCTGGCAGGACAACCACACAATTACAGTGCCTTTATATTGGAGAAGGCTGACTAGTCACTAGTGGACTCACTTAATGGAACATTCATCCCAGCTGTTGTAAAGAAATCCACTGAACACAGCTTCATGGGCAATCTCTTCCAAGCCTGCACCCTCCCTGCTCTCCCCATACATACACACAGCAGAATCAGTGTGATTCTTCAATTTATTTGTAGCATTCTGCATCCCAACCATGGCAGGAAGCACTTCTCCTGGAAGCAGGAGAGAAAAGCTTGATTTGTAATACAGGCCTGCATTATGACTTCAATGCCATAAACTGATACAATTTCAGCAAGATTTTAAACACCAGCAGGAGGCTGAGAAGTGTCAACTGTAATTAAAAACTTCATTGGATAATGGAGAGAAGTATTTCTGACCATGAGAACTATCGGCTTCCTAGATTGCAAATGGGTAGTTTTCCTTCAGCAGACTGCTAGCTACACAGAATTGTCTATTAACTGGGAAAGCTATCTAAAAAACCACTCTAAAAATAAGTTTAGGTGCTCTTTTCATGTTAGATGAGCGAAGAAATTCCAATGTAACTCTACAGTCATATACACCTCTACCCCGATATAACGCTGTCCTCGGGAGCCAAAAAAAAATCTTACTGCGTTATAGGTGAAACCGCATTATATCGAACTTGCTTTGATCCGCAGGAGAGTGCAGCCCTGCCCCCCGGAGCACTGCTTTACCGCGTTATATCCGAATTCATGTTATATCGTGTCGCGTTATATTGGGGTAGAGGTGTACCCTAAATATTATAATCATTTTTATTGGGGTAACACCTAGCGACCCCATATCAACAATAACAGTATTACTGCGCTAGGCACTGTACAGACATACACAACAAGAAGACTGTTCCTGCCCAAAGACCTATCCATATACTATAAGTCACTTCAAAATTATCAATTTTTATTTTCAATCCAAATCATTTAGGTTACCCTTACAAAGCAAGAAGTCCCACTGATGCCACTGGGACTATTCATGAGAGTTCCCACTCACCAAAGCAAGTAAAATGATTAATAAACTGTACCTCAGATGAGTTTTGTAAGAACTTACTCTATAATTGGCTCATTTGCATATAATACAGCAATTATTATTCTCTCTCTTACCATGTTACCAGTAAGCGAATATTACTGATCCTTTATTAAAGGAAGTACACGCTGGCTTCCTTGTGTGTTTCAGCAGGCTGGAGCCATCTGCCTACGCAGCCTACCCACACTCAAAATTTCCAATTGCCATCACAGCTCAGCAACTTTTAACTGCAATGTGATAATTTTACATTGTGAACTCCTTACGGCAGGGAATGTATTTTCTAAGCTTCCCATTCGGACTTAAAATATAAACTCAAACATCAGTTCATTCAGTTACAGATCCCTGGCTCTGTAGTTTGTATTATCGTTTGTATGGGAATTCATAGCTTGATGCACAAGTATTTTGAAAGCTATTCCATATTGTTAACATTTCCACAGGCATAACCTAAAACAGATTTGAACTCATAACAATTAGTTTAAATCAAGTCCAACTTTGTGTACTATTCCTATATTAACAGATTCCACTTCTAATCTTTTGACCTCCAAGTTAATGGAGATGTCAGAATGGCTCTCTTTCCACAACTCATTTATGTACATATTAAAAACACAAACATTCAAATAACAAATATTACCCTACACCTAGGTCTATTATCAGAGACACTAACCGAACACAACAGTGAGATTTCCAAAGAGATTTTTAAAAATTTATAAAAAACACTTTTATATCAAATATTACATAAGCAGAAATTATTAAATCTGGTATGAAGAAGCAGAATCAGGTTTGGCAATACTTCAATGTATAATATTTTTACACTACAAACTACAGTACACCTAACATGTATTTAAAAAAATAAATAAAAAGCCAAATTCATATTTAATACTTTTAATAAAAGTGGTGATGTAGGGCTCTATCCTGAAGAGGGCAGAGCACTTTCACTAAAAAGGTGTTCAGCGTTCTGTCAGATCAGACCCACAGACTTAAAATTTCATTTTATAGACTTGATACCATGAGGTCCTCAATTCTAGTTGATTTAATAAAAAATTAAACACATTCAGAGTTTCACAAAAACCAAGCATTTACCTTACTTCTGCAGAGGAAAATAAAGAATTGCACAGCAACAGGTATAAGGAAGCCAGAATATCTATTTACATTCATTCACCTCCTTTTCACCCTTCAACTATTTATTTACATTTCTTGCTCATATTTCTTCCCTTGTAAACTGATTATACATGTTAACTATTTTGTACATAAATTCTTCCTCAACTGTTTTCTCCCTTAAACCTTCAAAGGATGCTGTTAAGGTAGTTCTCATAATTTATAAGAATAGATTTTACTCACTGTTTATAGCAACCACTTGGAAGATTGAAACAGAAATCAGCTGCCATAATCTGTTCCCCTTCCATTTCATGTGCAGACTGGTTACTGTAGAGCTCTTCATAAATTCTGGACTGTTGGTGTTTTTTCTTTAAGATAAATAAATAAATAAAATCAAAATAGTCGCACTTTAGGGTATTTTTTTCTTCAATAATCTCAGAATTTACAAAATGACTTAAGCAGGGAAAAGTACTTGTAGTTTCAGTGGTAGCCGTGTTAGTCTGTAACAGCAAAAAAAACACGAGGAGTCCATGTGGCACCTTAGAGACTAACAAATTTATTTGGGCATAAGCTTTCGTGGGCTAGAACCCACTTCATCAGATGCACGAAGTAAAAAATACAGAAGCAGGTATAAATACATGAAAGGATGGGGGTTGTTTTATCAAGTGTTAGGTCAGTCTAACAAGATAAATCAATTAACAGCAGGCTACCAAGGGAGGAAAAATAACTTTTGAAGTGGTAAGAGAGTGGTCCATACCAACTGACAAGAAGGTGTGAATAACAGTAGGGAGAAATTAGTATTGGGGAACTTAAGTTTAGGTTTTGTAATGACTCAACCACTCCCAGTCTTTATTCAGGCCTAATCTGATGGTATCTAGTTTGTAAACTAATTCCAGTTCTGCAGCTTCACGTTGGAGTCTGTTTTTGAATTTTTTTTTGTTGAAGAATTGCCTTTTTGAGGTCTGTTATTGAATGACCAGAGAGACTGAAGTGTTCTCCTACTCGTTTTTGAATGTTATGATTCCTGATGTCAGATTTGTGTCGATTTATTCTTTTGCGTAGAGACTGACGGTTTGGCCAATATACATGGCAGAGGGGCATTGCTGGCACATGATGGCATATATCACATTGGTAGATGTGCAGGTGAATGAGCCCCGGATTGTGTGGCTGATGTGGTTAGGTCCTATGATGTTGTCCCTTGAATAGATACAGTATGTGGACAGAGTTGGCACCGGGGTTTGTAGCTGGGTTTGGTTCCTGGGTTGGTGTTTTTGTTGTGTGGTGTGTAGTTGCTGATGAGTATTTGCTTCAGGTTGGGGGGGCTGTCTGTAAGCAAGGACTGGCCTGTCTCCCAAGGTCTGTGAGAGTGAGGAATCGTCCTTCAGGATAGGTTGTAGATCCTTGAGTGTATCTTTTCACAGATTCTTCATACTTTTGCAGACCTCAATGAGATATACTTCATCTGCTTGCTGGAGAACATATACTTAGTTTCCTCTAGTATTTTAAATAACTACAACATTGAAGCCTTAATCACTTTATAGTACTGTCAACTCTTGCAGTTTTATTGAGAATCTCATGATATTTGGTATTTTTATAAAGCCTGAGATCCTGGAGTCAAGTGATTATAGAAATCCCCAGTCTCTAAACCTCATGGTTACAGGTAAAAATTTGAAGACATGAACTGAGTGAACCATAAAAAACCTCAAAAACATTGAAATTAAAAATATCATTTAAAAATATCACATGACTTATTACCCCTGGGGGAATTCTGCACCAAAAAATTAAAAATTCTGCACACAAGATTTTAAAATTCTGCAAATTTTATTTGTCAAAACAACACTATATAATCACGCCACTTTCAATTATTTTGGTAATTTTTTTCAAAATACCTGTCAGCAAGTAACAATACAGACACATAAAATTCTCCCAGGAGTAGATAATTAAAGAAACCCCTATGACAACCCAGTTCCTGCTTCTCTGCCTCCTTTCCCTCAGAGCCCAGCCGGGGGCCAGACACTCACACCCCTCTCTCCCACAGCCCCCACACTCCCAGCCCAGACACTCACACAGCCCCTGCCCCCCAGACCCAGCTGCGTGCCCCGTCACACCCCAGACACTCATAGGCCCTACCCTTCTAGAGCCCAGGGATTCAGAGGGAGAAACATCCTGATGCTGGGTCCCAGGATTGCACAGAGTTTCCTGCACGCCACTGCCTCCTTCCTTCAGAGCATGCTGGGAACTGCAGCTACTGGGAACCCTCCAGTTCCCTACCCCTCCCCACAGCCTTGTCTTCTATTTGCAATCTGGGCTCTGCCAGGTCCAGCAGCCTCTACTGGCAGCCAACATCTCTGCAGCTCACTTCTGTGGGGGGAAAAGGAAACTGCACACCTCACATTAATTTCTGCAAAATTCTGCATTGCACAGTGGTGCAGAATTCCCACCAGAGTAACTTCTTAATGCTTGAGGTTGGTAATGCTACTTATGCATGTGTTTATATTTATATGAGTGGTCCCAATGAAATCAATGGGACTACATAAGCCTGTCAAGACCCACTAGCATTCTGGTTGTCCAATAAGGCAATCAAAACCTTCCTTAACGAAATCCTTGTGGCATTCTGCTATTTATCTATTACCAACCAAAAATGCTTACACCAACATTAAGCATCTTTCTTCAGTACTAAAGATTATACGTAACCACACTAGTAGCTTGCGCAGCACACACACACACACACACACACACACATTCTGTTTTTATAATAGACCTTTGGAATACCAGTCACACCCCTAAGATAGGGTTTTTTTAATTTTCACACACTTTATAATACCTGTTAAAAACACACACTCCCACCCACGAAAGATTATGTTAAAGTAAATAATGACTTGATTAAATCCACTCCCTTATCCACCCAACCCAAAGGGGAAAACAAATTGAAACTGAGCCTTTAAAGGTGACTTGCAAAAGCTGCTTGAAGATTAAATTTAAAATATGTAAAATACCAAATTATTAATAAAAATGTTTTCATTTAAATTATAAGCACCTTTTAACATAAAATATTTGTAACTCAATCCTTACACCTGCCGAGACAAGTTAAGGGTTCTATGTTTTCCTTGCAACAGACGTTTCTTTTGAATGGGAAAAAGAATCTTGAACTCAAGTCTCAGCAGGAAAGTGAAAGGAGAAAGCAACTGAAAAATAAAAGTATTCCAAGTGTTGAAATTTTGTAGGAAAGGGATTTTTCTGGAATCACACACCATCTCATCCTGAGATCACTGTAAACCACTCTCCAGAAGAAACTGGAAATGGCTTGCTCCTAGGATTGTCTGCTATTCTGCTAGAAAACAACATATTTTATATTTATGGCACATACCAGTTATAACATTCATAGCACCACTCAGACAGCCAGAAAACATTAAAACATGACAATATGAAATCACAAATGGAACACAGCCACTGCACCATTCCTTAAACTTCATAGCTCCTTTTAAGAAAAAGGGGGCATTTTGCAGCTAATGTAACATAGAAGAGGGAAATAAAAACTTAACTTATTTGACCATGCAAATCCTGAAATCAAAAATCCCTACTCCATTGGATTACAGAGGATGTGATTATTGCAATTCAGGGCATCAGCTGCTTGGCAACACTCTCTCTCTCTCTTTTTTTTTTTTCTCTTTAAGTGACTACCTCAAGTATTCCTTCCCTACATGGAGAGGGCAAGCATGCTGCCTGTGCAGTGCTCTCAAACAATGCTAGCAAGAGACCAAGGTTGGTTTCAGACTTTCATCCTCACAAAATCGAAGTGGCCATATGGCTGTATTAAAAGTCACTAACATTTGATGGCTATTTGGTGGCTTATTTAGGCAAATCAACAAGTTTACTAGCAGAAATATCACAAAAGCCACAATTGGCACCCTTGTGTGACAGTGGTCTCCAGAGGATGGCAAAATACCTTCCAAACTCAGACTGAAGCTCCCTACATTTTACCAGAACTGTTCCTGCTGGTTGATATGCTCCAATCCCATATATAGCATAAACATTTAGTTACTAATAAAAATTGAAAAAGAAAAAATTCTACATACATTCTCTAACTCGCATGCACAGATTTTTTTTTTAAACAACTTTTTGCACGCTTCCTTACGTGCACAGGATTCAGACAGCGGCTTGGAGTACTATGGAGGTCCCAAGTACCTTAATTCCAAATAATCCCACTTGACATATCCTGCCCAACTCCTCTCCCCCTGGGGAGATATTGAGCAGCCGTAGGACAAGCTGGAGCCTGACGATTAAGTCAAGCCCCTTAATGCCTACTTCCACTGCCCCTCTTCACCTGTTAAGCCCTCAGACAGCCCCGCAGGTAGCAGGGGACACGTTTTTCTTGTCAAACCACCGGAGCAGGCCCAGGGTTTAGCAGCAGCTAAGGCTGACGTTGCACATGTAGGGCAAGGACCCGCCGACCCCCCACCTACTCACGCGGCGGACACAGGACTCCTGCCTCGCCAAGTCACTCAGCCCCTCCAGCCCCGCACCTTCCCCCAGGTGCGCACGGCGCCTCCCGAACCAGGAAGAGCCATTCACTTATGGATGCAACACGAAGGGGCAGCCTGGGTGCCAGGGCATCGAGCCCCCTGCGGCGCCTCCAAGCAGCAGTCCCCGTTTCCAAGCCCATCGACCTCTAGGGACACGCGCCGACCTCTGCGGGACGGCCGGCTTGGGACCGCCGGGGGACTCCGCGGCGGCGGCTACTGCTGGCGGGGGCCACGGCAAAGTCTCCGCGGAACAACACCACGTTCATACCGAGAGCAACCCCCGCCCCCCCGCACACACCAACCGAGCCGTGGGGCGGCGAGAACGCGACACCCGCCCCGGGACAGGGCAAGGCGGCGAAGGGGCCGCGGTCGCCCCACAACACTCGCGCCCGCAGCTCGCGTGGGAGGGAGAGACGGCGAGCCCGGCCGCCCCCTGAGCCCGAGCCAGCGATCCAGGCTGCCCTGCTAGTACCGTGAGCGCCGCTGCCCCGCCACGGCGCCGGCCCCTCGGACGTCCCGGGCCGCACGGAGGCGAATCAGTCGGCGGCAGAGTTCTGGAGGCGGCGAAGTTCGCCTCGCGCTCTCAACCGTCCCCGCTCCCGGCGCGCGCGAGCCCACCAGCCCCAGCCCGTCTCGCGCTGGGTCGGGGGAGGCTGGCTGACAGGTACCGGAAATGAGGCACTGGCACACACCTCCCGCCACGGCCGCCTGCGATTGGCTGCGCGCGGGGAGCGACTGGGGGGGAGGGAGGAGGGGACGGAGTGTCCCGGGCCGGGAGCCCAGATCCCGTGTGGTGTGACCCGCCCCCGCCCCGAGGCCCGCTCCTCCGCAGCACCCCGGTTCCCTGACCCCCACAGCATGACAACCCCTACAGCCCCAGACAGTGGTACCGCAGCGAGGGGTGCTGCCGCACCCCCTGGCTTGAAGCAGTTTCCATCATACACAGGGGGTTTACAGCTTGGTTCAATGGCCCTCAGCACCCTCATTATACAAATTGTTCCAACGCCACTGCCCCCCCAGCAGCACAACACAGCTCACCTGCACACAGTGCAATAGCCCAGACACTAGAGCGACACTGCCACCGTAACCCACAGCACACCTATCACACCCCTCCAAGCCCAGCGTCCACCCTATAGAAAACAACTGTAACACCCCCCACCATGCTATTTTACACACACTCCCCACCCACATACACTTTTAAAAACAAAGAATGTCTGGTACAGGCAGACACTCTGCATCCCATGTAACCAACAACCCCCACTGTGATGATCAAATAGCAAGTGTGAAAAATCAGGACGGGGTGTGGGGTGGAGGTACTAGGCGCCTATATAAGACAAAGCCCCGAATATCAGGACTTGCCCTATAAAATTGGGATACCTGGTCACCCTAATCCACACTCCCTCATGCACAAGCACCAATGCACACACCCCACTTGCACCCAACCCCCTCCAGCCATACCACATACCCCAACAACATACATCAGCCTAAAACAAACCATAGAGGAAGTGGGAAGAGCAAAGGCAAAACAGATTTGCCAAAAAGACTTTAACAGAGGCAGACAAAACTGGCATGCTGAGTCCGGAAAAATAAGTGCAAAGATGTAATCAGCGTGTACTCTGTGGGAACAAAATCTGAGCTCTTTCTCTCTCATCCTCCTGCCTGTTCTATTTCTGGTGCTTGGTGGCCAGATATGAAACATTCACATGAGGTAGTAATGCCAGCAGACTCTGCAGGTCATAAGCAAAGATTATTCTAATCTATTCAGGCTCCTATACTGCCCTGGTCACTGTAGGATCTGAGTGTCTTCCAGCCATCCATAAAGTGATGTCACTAACATCTGTCACATATGGTTCCTTTGCTCTCTCATTCTTTCTTCCAGGGGAGAATTGCATGAACCTGAAGTGATTTATTTTCAGAGGGTTTTGTTTTTGTTTTTAGTTGTACACCTTGCTGTGTTTATATGAGAGAAAGCAAGGTCAAAGAAGTGCATCTTACACTTGGAGTAAAAGTCAATGAGGTTTGTGATTATCCTTAGTTCCTATGAGAGTTTGTTCGACTATTTTAGACTAGCCCCCAAGAAAGTTCTGTCTCCCTCACAGGCCAGCTTTACCCTTATTGTAGAGTTTCACTGTCCCTGAGAAATGGAGTTGTTGACTAGAATCCTTCTCCCAAAGCTTTAGGCAATCTTTTAGATATCCTGGACCCCAGCCATTGAGCCCCTTTAAGAGAAAATGTGAGACCTTGAATTTGACATGATATTCTATGGGAAGCCAGTGTAGAAAGTGAAGGAGTAACCCTTGTTGCTGAATAAAGGTGCTCCAACATCCTGTACTAGTTAGAGTAACTTAAGGTCTGAAGGCTTCATGCCATTGTTGTAGTCCAAAGGAAAAGTGACAAAGGTGTGTCTAACTGAGGCCAGGTCCTCATCTGCAAGGATGGGATGGTGTCTCCTAGACAACTGGAAATGGAAGAAAAGCTTGATTTGATGTGAAGAATTGCTCTTTGTAGTTCAAAAGCCCGTCTCTTCCACCAACAGAAGTTGGTCCAATAAAAGATATTACCCATCTTGTCGCTCTCATATCCTGGGACCAGCACAGCTACTGCAAACAACATATAATTATATTGTACATCCATGACAAAAGGTATCCCAAATAAAAACTTTTAACAATGTATTTATTCCAATTATTGCATTTTGTTTGTTTTTTCTATATGAAAAATATTGTATTTTGACCACCTTTCTGACCCTTTATTCACTGGATTCAATGGACTTACACTGGTGTACAAGAGAAGAAAAGTTGGCCTATTCTTTCAGTTATGGAGTACTTTGGCCTCCATCCTGCATAGACATATTTACATGCTTAATTTTACCATTGTGCATGAATATTGCTGGGTGGGACTACTTGTAGTAAAGTTAAACATGTGTGTAACTTTGCAGGATTGGAGCCTTAGTTAGCATTCAATAGATTGCATGTGGATGAGTATATCTGACCAATTGTAATGCAACATTTTATTATTGGGGATTTTCTTCCATCACAGTTTAATAAATGATAATAGGTAAAAGTACAAGTGATATGAACTGATAAAGAGTAAAAACAGTTAAAATGCTGTCAGAAAATGCTTGTTCATATTTAAAAAGTCATTCAGAGAGTGTAGATGTTAACACTAATATTTATATTAATATCGTACTTTTCCCCCCAAAGAATTTCAAAGCACTTAACAAATTAAGGGCCAAATCCTGGCCTCCAGTATGACCCTTTGCACTACCCTTAGTCTGCTCTAAATTGTCCCAGGGCCAAGCCAATATACAGCTGCCATCAGTATTAAGGAATGTAAAAGAGGCTAAAATCCATCTTTTCTCCCATGTTCTCTGTCAGGCACAGCTCTGCTGAACATGAAGTTCAGGGCCCATTTCCATAAAGAGACGTCTGAATAGATGTGCTTTTTATTCAGTCCTATTTATTTTTGAAGCTTATAAGGATAGCTTATTCAACCCAAGCTGGCTAAAGCTTTCCACAGATAGAAAATTATAGTATATTAGTTTTTAAGAGTTGATTGTGTGTCTGAACTAAGTAAAATGAGACCGATTCTCCCCGTTTGATCTGCCCAGGTAGTTGTGGTCAATGGGGATGGTCTCATTTTCAGTTCCTTAACTGACCTTTAAGGAAACAATAGTATGTCATTCTCTGAATAGGGTTAGATGATCAGTCTGGATGAATGCTCTGACCAATGGAGTTGTACAGCAACCATAGGAACATTTCAGAAAAAGCTTATTGTAGATGCAGTTCTATAACTGTCAGTTCTGGAATTTACTTCTAAGACAGCTACATCAGTCAGCATTTTGTCATTTTTAGGGGGAAATGCAAGAGTGTTTAGACTTTCTCCTAACCATAGATGTTGGATTTCTGGTGACAACTAGTCTCTTAGCTGACTATCCTGTACATGTGATTTCCTGAAGATGACTGTGTTACAGAGGTGTGGGGACAGAGATTATTGAGTCCTAATTGGGGAAGTGTTTTCTTGTTTTTGGTAAATTGCATTCACGATGCTCAAACGACAGTGACACATTTATTATACAAAAATGTGTATAATAAATACATTAAAAATATTCTGCATTTAAAATGTTTATTTAATCTAAAGACCATATTCATTCCTTTGGAGCCTATTTGTCTGGGATAGTTACATATTTACAGAAGTTTTGCAGTGCAGATTGTTAATTTGATCAGATAAGTACCTGTTTGAGTTTAAATACATGTTATTAACCTTATTAAATACCCTTAAAATCCATCAGCTAAATGTTTATTAAATTTAAGAAATCTGACATCACTACATATTTACTGATTTAAAAAGAAAACCTGAATTGAGCTAATACGCCATAATTAGTGTTGTAGTCAGTTAATACAGATCAACATTTTGCAACACATTATCAAACAAGTGGTTAGACTTGTGCACTAGCCAATTTTCCAACATTAATAACCTGGCTGGTCCTGACACAGCCTGAACCACTGGGTCACCAGTAGCAGCTCCCTAACACAATATTTCTGATGGCAATTTTAAAAATCAACAATGTAGCAGGTATTAGGTCTTGAAACAATGATATAGAAATATATAGACTAAAGAGTAAATTCAGGACTCTGCACAAAAAGTGTATAATTGAGGAAAACAGGCATTTCGTGGCACAAGCTTGCAATGTGCTAGCTGCTCCTAGAAGGTGCGGAGCACCTTGTAGAACTGGGCTTTATAAGAACAACACAACCTAAACTATGTGCTGCTGTTTGTTCTGTCAAATCTGGGGCAGATCCATTTTTAATATACAATGGGCCTCTTTTTTGGTTGTCTAGTGCAGACCGGGCTTCCTAATTTTTTTTTAATTGGCCATAACAAATACTCTCATAAGTAAAATAGATTATTTCTCACATAATGTTAAATTTTGGCAGGAACGGCAGAGTCTAAACAGCATATCCAACATCTTTATGAGCAGAAATACTACATATATTTTTCCCATTTCTCATATCCAATTTGTGACTGCAACATTAACAAATTGCATGTAGATCAGCATATTTGACCAATTTGTAATGCAACATTTTGTTACTGGGGTTTTCGTCTGTCACAACTTAATGAAATGAAGACTCTTTCCAATGTATATATTTTAATTTTTATTCAGTTATTTCTCTTACATGAATATTTTTGTCCAAATTATATCTGTCACAAGTTTAAAAAAAAGTCTGATTGTTAAGAATTGGCAAATGTATCCAAAATACTTTAGAAGAATTAATATTCCACGTGATGTCTTCAAATGTTGAATCTTGCACTAGTTGATTGTAAGAGGTTTAGAAATCACTTGTAGACAGGTCCCTAGTAATTATTACTCTGAGGAAGTTCATGCGTGGATTATTTCAGCTAGTGTGTGGAACATGTTGCATCAGGTAGGTATATGCCACAATGGTTTCCAACAAGAGTATGCAAATAATTGGAGTGTAGGTTTAAAACCTAACTTTTCCCCCCAAAAAACATGCCTTTTTTCATATCGATAGAGTAAAGGCACCTTGAGCATGCCTATCCATCCTAACACTCCTTTTGGAAGACAATACTATCCCAGTATAGCAAATATACAG